CCCCAAAACCCCAAAACCCCAAAACCCCGCTAGCAAAGATTCAAAATAATCTTGGGAATTTATTATTAATTAAATAATTTGCTCAATTTTATATTTATTTTATATTTTCCCAATCATTCGTAAAATATATCATTGCATCCTTTGCATTACTTCATTCTCTTCCATTTTTGGATTTACCCATAATTTTTTAACTATTATTCTTATTAATTTTATTTAAATTCTTTATAATTTTATGTTCTTTAATACTGATCTCTTTCATCAATATCATCTTCATCGCTTTCGTTATACATATGCTATAGCAATTCTAGCTCCATTTAATCCTATTGGTCATTACTAGTTGAACCTTTTTATTATGGCAAATTGAATTGGCTTCGACAGGAATTACATAAATTATATCTCTCTAAGCCTTATCCTGTACCTTTTAAACTATAATTTTTCCTAATATCAACTAATCTACTTCTGCCATTAGTAATCTTTTTTTTTTATTTTTCTTAATTTTTATAAGGAATGCAATTGTTATTTATTTCGAATTAATTATTTTAAACCTGTGTTTCCTATGAATTAGATGGAGATATTTATTCAATATTTTAAATGTCTTTACTGTTAATTCGTCGTTTGTTTATAATGGTCTTACCAAATTTTCTGACTCTAAAGTTATGTTCAATTTTTTCTAACTCAATAATTTCTTTCAAATTTTTTCCAATATTCTTCAAATTGTTGTTAGATACTACTGCTTCTTAGTTTTTATGTTAATAAAAAACAGATCTATCTCTTATACAATCATGAAGCTGTATCTACTTTCTTTTAAGACCCAGATGGCATTACTAACAAGTGAGATGCATCTCATTGCACTCATTCTTCAAATGATCTTTTAGATCTCTTTTTCTTATCACTTTTTCGCCCTAATTAGAAGTGAAATTACATTACAAAGGACATTTTATCTTCATTTAGTCACATTAGTGATACTAATTATTATTTTAAATGAAATGCTGGATGTATTGTTGATATGAGTATACTTAGGCTAGTGGTTTTTCATTTTGCATTTCCCTCCATTTTTATTGCTGATCTTTAGGCACTTTACATTCCATAATTTTATTAAATGCCTAAATATTAAGTTCTTAGCAGTGGCATGTAAAGAAAAGTTGATTAATTGAAATTTTATTTTGTCTGTAGACAAAATACTACTTATTATTAAACTAGTCATAAGTGTTACAATTAGGGCATTTCAACCCATGTTTATCTTTGTTTTTTAGAATACATGCAGAGCAAAAAACAGACCCACACTAATGACATGATGAGGGATCTTAAAAAATTCCTTTGCATGAGGGACATATAAATCTTCTTAAAGTTTAGGGTTCTATCAAAATTGCTTCTCTAGGCAATTTTTCAATAACTGATTTATCTGATTCAGTGGTAATAACATCTAATGGATCAATTGTAGGAATAATATTCTAAGGAAAGTAGAAAGCATTTTCAATTACAGTATCCAATGTGGCTTCGTCTTAAACTTTGAAAACCTTAATTTCTTCTTCACTAATATCTTATTAAATCATTGATCATTACTCATGATATCATTATATGATTTAAATAATTTCTAGTTTTAAGCTTTTCCCAAATTCTGCATCCCTAAATAAACTTGTGATAGTAAATAGTTTCGCTTTACTTGGTAATTTTTGAAACCCTATAACTATTTTAATGCAAGAAAAACAGTGCGAAATCCTCTCTAAAAATTCCATTTTTTTCTTGATCATAATTTTATTATGCCCATTCAAGATAACCTTCTAGAAGTGTTTGACTTATTTTAGATTAATCAAATTAGCAGTTCTGATCTATAAGTTTCACTTGTTATTAAAGAGACTTCAACTAATTGTATGTGATTTTTTTATTCTCAGCAACAATAGCTTGAAAATTAGGACCTATTTAGATAGTGGCCTCATTGTTTTTGGTGTTTCAAACTGGGTATATCCTATTATTTAATTTTTATTACTATTCTTTAAAATTAAGCTGACTTTTTTTATTTAATTTCTTAAATTCATCTATAAAGACTTATTCAAGATGATTGGGGTTTTGGGGTTTTGGGG